CAGTAGCAAGGGGGGGATGAAGATTGTTTTCAGGCTTTTGTCTTTCATTATTTTGTCTTTTACTAGTATGTATTTCAGTTGTTTGTCTTGCATGAGTTTGTCTTTTAGGTGTCTGTCTTTAGTAGTTTGTTTTCAAGATTTTGTCTCTCAGTAGTTTTTCTGTTATTAGCGTGTCTTTCAGTAGTTTTTCTTTTAGAAGTTTGTCTTTCAAGAGTTCGTCTTTCAGGAGTTTGTCTTTCAGGAGCTTGTCCTTCAGGGGTTTGTCTTTTATAAGTATGTCTTTCAGTAGTTTGTCTTTATTTTTGCTTTTGTTTGTTTTTCAGAGGTTTTTCTTTCAGAAGTTTATCTTTCAGTAGTTTGTCTTTTAGAAGTTTGTCTTTCAGGAGTTCGTCTTTCAGGAGTTTATCATTTAGGAGTTTGTCTTTCAGGAGTTTTTAAATGTTTTTCTTCTGTAGTTTATTTTGAGGATTTTTTCTTTCAGTACTTTGTCTTTTATTGTTGCCTCTTTCAGTCTTTTGTTTTTCAGGAGTTTGTCTTTTATTAGTGTGTCTTTCAGTAGTTTGTCTTTCAGGAGTTTGTGTATCAGTAGTTTGTCTTATAGTTTATTGTTCAGGAGTTTGTCTTTCTGTTGTTCGTCTGTTAGAAGGTTGTCTTTTAGATAGTTTATCTTTCAGAGTTTTTCTTTCAGGAGTTTGTCTAATATGTGTTTGTAATTCAATTGTTTGTCTTTCAGGAGTAAGTGTTTCAGTATTATCTTGTCTTTAGGGAGTCTGTCTTTCAGTAGTTTGTCTTTCAGTAATTTGTATTTCAGGATTTTGTCTTTTAGCAGTTTGTCTCCCAGTATCTCACGGTAGTTTGTTTTTCAGGAGTTTGTTTTAAAGTAGTTTATCTTCTCACGATATTTTGTCATATGAGAAAGATTGAGATAGAACAGGAAGCAAAAGTTGACCTACGCAGCGAGCATCTTATATCTCACAAAGCTCGTGACGCAATTGACGCAACCTGTCACATCTCTCACATGATTCATGACGCAACCATAAATTAAAATAAATACAATATTTTAACTTTTTGGATAATTGTTTTTCATTTGGTTTTAAAACGATCCTCTCAATTTCAAAATCTAAAGACAATTTGCATCAGTGTCTAATGTTGATTTTAAGGTGTAAAAACATCGTTGTTTTCGTCTAGAAGAAGTATCACAATTTCATTCGTTGCCTCTGTTGCAAAAAGAAACAAATTGTTTCCAAAGATATATCTTAAATCAAAGTAATTGATGGAATAATTAATTATTTTATTGTTTTATTAATAAAAGGGGGCCAGGATGTCAGGGGCGTCAGCTACATAGGGGGGCTGGGAGGGGGGGCTGGAAAGGACATTGTGTGAACCGTACAAAAGTAGAAAGGGGCGGGGGCGGATAAAATAGAGAGATATGGGTGGAGCAAAGGGGTATATGTGTTCTTACAAGACGGATAACGTCCGGCGTGTGGGAGGGGAGAGGGGTCCGGAATGTGTGGCAAACCTCGTGTGAATTTTATCAGTCAACAATTTGAGACAAAATAAATAGAAGCAATGGCGTCGAGATGGAAATAAAGGAAAACCGACGGGAATAACAAGTTTACAAAATATAATTCGAATTTAGATTCGTAACATAAATAAACATTAATTCTTTTTTGACATTTCTGAAACGACTTTGCGACTTTATTCAGCTTGGACCGGAGAGAGAGAGATAAGCATTAATTCAATTAGGATTTTCAAAATTTATTATTCTTTATCATCAATAGCTTATAAGAACAAAAACTTTGTTTAAAAACATGCATGTTGGATTGGGAAATCTACATTCAAGCATTCTTGTGTATATTTGATATTTTTTTTAAGCAAAAAGTTCTACCCGTCAATTTGGTAGGTGAACATTTCCTGAGTTTCATGTTTATCGGAGTAATTAAAATAAACTTGGTTTGAAATAAAATTAATTTTAGATTTTCTGCAGAAGTTGAAGGCCGGGAACTTTCGTTGTAAATTCAATTAATCTACAATTTATAGAGTGGCATTGCCTTATTCACAACGGTACCCAATAAAATACACTTTATCAGACCTACAATATAAAGGATGTTGCCGCTTTTAGCCCGAAAAAAGTTTTTAATTCTGACAATTTCTATCATGTTTCTGAACCAGAAACCTTGAAGTCCCTTCACGATAAACCACAATTAAAATTCATCAATTTTCAAAGAGAAAACTATCATGGAAATATCTTGAATTCTTATAATTGGACCAAGTTTGCATTTTTTTCAAAACTGGGACCACTTTTAAGTAAAGACGGTCAGGCGCGCAACTAGACAATTTGTTAAGGGGGGGGGGGCAATAGTGAACATTTATTTTTGCCCCCCTTCCCAAAATTTTTTTTTTTTTTTTTTTGGGGGGGGGGCAAGAAAAATGTGTATTATACTCAAACAATAAAGAATCTAACCGTATCAACTGGATATTCAGTAAGTGAACACGTCTGATATGTAATAAAAAAGAAATCTATTTTGGTTAATATAAATCACAATATTAAATTACAATTTACATATATATAAATATATAAATTACACAATAATTGCGATGAAAATGTAGGATTAATTGAATAGTTTTAATTGTAATACAGTATTAAAGCAATATCATAACAAGTGGCAGAACTGATATATGTGAAAATATCTAAAAATACTTAATAAACTAAATAAACCCCTTTTCCCATGGTAATTCATGAATCGCTAAATTGCAAAACAGGGTGGACTTCTTGCCCCCCCCCCCTACAGGCTAGGGGGTCTTGCCCCCCCCCCTAGTTGCACGCATCCTGAAGACGGTTTAAAAGACTCTGAAAACAGACTGTGGTAGTTATCACAAATGTTCAGTCTGCTTGAAAACAGTTTAAAGCTGTCACAAGTTTTATGTTTGCTCATTAATACATTCTTCAATATACGCCTTATTCATTGTGAACTGATTGAATGAGTTGACTGTATGTATTAAGAGTACCCTGAGCCGGGTTCAGTTACTCCCCGGAGCACTGGATTCTCTCAACCCGTCCTGCGTAGCGGGAGCTTTGATAGCTGATAAACCCATTATTCAAAACTTGAGAACAAATTCATCACGTTTATACTTTTCTTAATGTATACTCTGTTATATACTCTGTAACTATCTTTCAATTGTATTTATTGTTGATATATTTCAAGGTGATGTTCTAATTTAAGGTAGGGACTTTAGACGTAGTTTTCAGGTATTAACGGGACTGTAGACGTAGTTTTCAGGTATTAACGGGACTGTAGACATAGTTTTCAGGTATTAAAGGGACTGCAGACGTAGTTTTCAGGTATTAAAGGGAATAAAGACGTAGTTTTCAGGTACTAAAGGGACTGAAGACGTAGTTTTCAGGTATTAAAGGGATTGTAGACGTAGTTTTCAGGTATTAAAGGGATTGTAGACGTAGTTTTCAGGTATTAAAGGGGCTGTAGACGTAGTTTTCAGGTATTAAAGGGACTGAAGACGTAGTTTTCAGGTATTAACGGGACTGTAGACGTAGTTTTCGGGTATTAACGGGACTGTATACGTAGTTTTCAGCGACCCTTGACTTCCTTCCTTTAATGGATTCCTCGCAATCTCGTATATTTAAATATCCTACAGTAATTAAGTAATTAAGTAATTAGATTATAAAGTTTTAAAAAAATACAAAATAAAATATTAAAAGGAGGAAATCTTTAACAACTCACGAAACAAATTGAAAGTTTGGCAATACTTCAACACCGAAGTTTCACAGCAATAAAATCAACTCTATAATCTGTATTTGTAAAAAACGAGCTCGGAAATTGTGAATGCAGAGGTAAAACTGGTTGGGGCGGGGTCACCCTTTCCAAAACAAGATAGAAAGTTAGAAAGAATTAGAAATCGAAGGAAGAAATAATGATATAAGGAGATAAAGAAAAAAAGAAAAAATATAAAAGAAGAAAGAATGAGAAAAAATAAAAGAATGCCATTTTTACTCTGCAATTCGCCATGTGCAATCTGAAATATGCTCATTTACAAATTGCAAAGTTCCAAAGTTCAGCGTACAACACGCGGATGCAAAAGATACAATCTAATCCAAATATTTCAAGGATAATACTTACAAAAATTTAAACGCAAATATTTAAATTTGTGAATTGTATCTTTAACTGAATTTGTCTATTCATAGATGAGCATTTATTTAAACTGGAACATATCTAAGCTTTAAAATATCCANTAAAAAAATAATCAATCTTCAATGAGAAAACAATGAATATCTTATAAATTCTTGAACAGACATGCCACTCTAAAAATGGAGGGTGAAATTAAAGTAAATAAATTCAATCATTATTAATTCAAAAAAGCTAATCGCTCTTTTTCTTGGACACCCTTTAAAATAATTTTTTTAAATGAAGTCATTATTAAATCTTTTCAAGATTACATTTTACACTCATGTTTCCAAATCGGACCGTTTCGTTTAACATATTGAATGAAAAAAGAGCAAAAATTATTGGGGTTTTGATTTAAATATTCCGCTTGTGTGAGGGGATATAGATTTGGTCACTTTGGTTACATAGCTTTCTATGCTTGAATAGGAAACAGTTCATACCATGGTTCATACCTTGTAATTGTACATCTATATATAAATTTGGCTTGTCTGTCTGTTTGTCTGTCCGTCTGTTTGTATCCAATAAACGTCAAAACGGCTGAACCGATCGGGGCCAAATTTTTTGTGGGACATCTAGGGACCCCAAGGAAGGTTTATGAATGATTGAAATTTTAAATATTTGTCTCCATCAAAATTCGATCTTCATTAAATTTTTGAAAATTTTGAAAATCCACGATTTTTTGTGAAAATCCGCGAATTATTTTTGTTTTGTTTTCCGATGTACACAAAGAGAACATGTTCACAATTTATTTAGAAGATGGGCGCGAAGCGCCCTCTAAGGCTAGTACTATATATATATATATACATGTATATCAGACAGGGTTACCCACGAAGGATGAGACTGTAAAGACGACCCAAAACTCCAAAAAAATGACAATTTGAAGCTTAATTTTTGGTCTCTGCATTAAAGTGAGTATTTTTATTGTACTTTAATGATTAAACACAAAAATAAGCCAGTTTTGGTCTACAACGAACCCTGATTGCAAGAAAACGAACTAAACCAATTCCGTACATTCGTCTCTGAAATCTCACCCTTTGTGTGTAATTGGGTGTTTTGGGTCACCCACGTGCAGGTAGGGTTGTTAATCGTTTTTGAAAACGATCATTCAACGATCGTTTTTTTCGTTTTCCTATCGTTTTTTGTTTCGTTTTCTGATCATTTTAAAAACAATCGTTTTAAAAACTTAAAAAAACGATCGGAAAACGGAACAAAAAACTATAGGAAAACGAAAAAACTATCGTTTTTCAAAAAAATGAAAACGTTAACATCCCTACGTGCAGGATGAGACTTCAGAGAAAAAAATTTCAAATTACTACTATACCTTCTTTTTTTCCAAAGCAAGTTTAATATAAAACTTATTTGGACATTCATACAAGAAAATAAAACACTTGTATCGCCTTTTGGCCAATATTACCGACCCACGATCGTACTTTTTCAAGAAATTAAGAATTTTACATTCAAAATATCCAAAGCAAAACTTTATCTTTTATTCTACCCTTGATAAAGTAAGCTTTCTTAACTTTCCTGTAAAAGTTTTAAATAATATTTTTTATCTACTTTTCTTTTTAGGAATTCTTGACAGATTTCATTAAAAAGTCAAGAATACAATAAGTTGAAAATGAATTGTCACATATTTTATTTGGAAAACATATGAGAGCTGAGAGGACAAAACAAGTAATTCATAATTCTAACATGTACGTGCATAAAAATGAAAGTAAGTGAATAAAGATGAAAGGCTTACAAAGAAGTAAGTTAGTGAGTTAAGATCAAAGCCGTACGAAGAAGTAACATAGTGAGTTAAGATCAAAGGCTTACAAAGAAGTAAGCTAGTGAGTTAAGATCAAAGGCTTACAAAGAAGTAAGCTAGTGAGTTAAGATCAAAGGCTTACAAAGAAGTAAGATAGCGAGTTAAGATCAAAGGCTTACAAAGAAGTAAGTTAGTGAGTTAAGATCAAAAAGGCTTACAAAGAAGTAAGATAGTAAGTTAAGATAAAAGGCTTACAAAGAAGTAAGATAGTGAGTTAAGATCAAAGGCTTACAAGGAAGTAAGATAGTGAGTTAAGATCAAAGGCTGACAAGGAAGTAAGATAGTGAGTTAAGATCAAAGGCTGACAAGGAAGTAAGATAGTGAGTTAAGATCAAAGGATAAGGCGTGTGACACTTTAAAGTCGACCTGTGGCCGAATTTAAAGAATTTGAGCGGTGGTTTAAATTTAAGCCGCGGCTTAAATATGGTTGGTTCCACTTAAAATTGTATCAAATGTTTCAAGATTTAATCAGGCGCTAAATTTAAACCGGGTTTTGGCGGATTTTGGCCAATTTCAACCGCGGCTAAAATTCTTTAAATTCCATCTCAGGTTTTGAAAATTAAGAAAATTTTAATTTCTAGATTTAAATTTCGATAATAATTATACACCAATAGCACTTATGCCAATCTTAAGTAAATTCTTGTGTTCTTAAAATGTGTACCTGCAGTATCAACTAAGCCTAGTATGCCTTGTATTCAAAATCAAATAAAAGCGTATTTTGGGTATCATACATTTTAGAATTAAAAACACATATTTACCAAAAATTGTCATTATTTTCGTTTCCCATTTCTTCTATTCTTTTTTTTCCCTTTTTATTTCTTTGCGCATTTTTTCCCTCCTTTCCATTCTTCCGTAATCTTTGCTCCTCAGAGTTTTTCTTTTCCAATTTCTTCCCTCTTTCTTAACCATCTTTCTTCTCATTTCGTTTAATTTGTTTTTCCATTTCTTCCCTTTTTCTTAACCATCTTTCTTCTCGTTTCATTTTATTTCTTTTCCCATTTCTTCCCTCTTTCTTAACAATCTTTCTTCTCTTTTCATTTTAATTCTTTTTCCATTTCTTCCCTCTTTCTTAACAATCTTTCTTTTCTTTTCCATTTTAATTCTTTTCCATTTCTTCCCTCTTTCTTAACCTTCTTTCTTCTCTTTTCATTATACTTCTTTTCCCATTACTTTCATCACTCTTCTCCCTTCATATTTCTATACGTATTTCTACCCTTAATCTCTTCTTTTCTCCTTATCTTTCTTACCCCATTTCTCCCCTCTCTTCCCTTCATATTTCTCTTCCCATATCTTTCCTGTGCCTTGATGCAAGAAAAAAGTCTACATAGATTCCGTACAGTGGTCGTCTCATTCTTTGTGGGTTACCCTGTATGAAGAAAACAAGGTAAATACGTGGTGTGACCGCGTGTGCACTGTGCAGTGTATAGTGAGCAAAAGGCACTGTGCGGGGCAAAACGGTTCTTTGACCTGATCATAAACCTTACACAAAACCAGCCGGTCTTAGGAGTTCTATATATATAGGACCAGTTTAGTATCAGCTGATATAGTCCGTATAATGGTTCATTCTACAGTGTTCGAATCTCGTACACGCACAAAAGTACAAGTTATGAACATCTTTGTTTTTATTTTGGAATTTTCTATTTCAGTTTTAATTAGTGAGAAATTGTGACAGACGTGATAAACGAAGTGAAGTGCCAAATCAATATATAATTGTTCACATTTGTCCCAAGTATACACAGATCATCTCATATAATATTTAATCCCGCTACCTCACAAGCTCAATCCTACTTCCTCCCATACTTAATCCCACTTCCTCCCATACTTAATCCCACTTCCTGCTATACTTAATCTCACTTCCTCCCATACTCAATCCCATTTTATACCATACTCAATTCCATTTTCTCCCATACTCAATCCATTTTATACCATACTCAATTCCACTTTCTCCCATACTCAATCCCATTTTATACCATACTCAATTCCACTTTCTCCCATACTCAATCCCATTTTATACCATACTCAATTCCACTTTCTCCCATACTCAATCCCACTACCTCCTGTACTCATTCCCAAAAGCTCAATCCAACTTCCTCATGCAATCTTAATCCCACTTCCTCTTTTACTCAACCCAACTTACTCCCATACTCAATTCCACTGCTTCACAAGCTCAAACCCACTTCCTCACATACTCAATATTCCCACTTCCTCTCTGCATACTCAATCCCATTTCCTTACATACTAAATCCCACTTAACTTCCTACTCAATCCCACTTCCTACCATACTTAATCCCACTTTTTCCCATACTCAATCCCACTTCCTACCATTCTTAATCCCACTTCCTCCTTTACTCAACCCTACTTCCTCACAAGCTCAATCCTTCTTCCTCACATACTTAATCCCACTTCCTCTCTTATTTAATCTCACTTCTTCCCATACGCAATCCCACTTCCTCACAAGCTCAATCCCATTTCCTCCCATAATCAATCCCACTTATTCCCATAATTAATTCCTAATCCTGCCATACTAAATCCCACCTCCTTACAGACTTAAAACCGCCTCCTCATATATTAAATAATTGGTGAGGAGCCACTGGACTAATGTGATATTACAGGGTTACCCACAAAGGATGAGACTTTAATGATGATCTCGAGATATATTGAAGTTCAAATTTGGACTTGATTTTTAAAAAGTCTTTTACGCTCCACTAGATGATTTGGAAATAAATACGGTAGTAAAAAATGGGGGAAACTTTTAGAAATAAGTCCAAAAACATGCCGTACAGTCGTCTCTGAAATTTCATCTTTTGTGGGTAACCCTTAAAGGGAGTATTCGCGAAAAATGAAAGGGGGTATAGGCTTAATGCGATAAAAAAGCGCTTTTGATCGCTACTAATCTTACTTCTATCTGTTGCGTCTCTAAGGAGAAAATTGTTAAAGACGTCTCATACCGAATAACTTAGTGCCCATACAAATTGAGAAAATTGCATTATACGACTTAGACCGTAAAAAAATCCATTTAATTTCAAACAAATCATTCAGATATTACAACCTATAGTCATCGATTATCTTTCGCCACATTTGTATATAGTTTATATTTTACAATATTTTTTAATTAATTTGTTTTGAATTTGATTATTTCTCTTGCGGCTTGCGCAACTATCTAAGAATGCCGCGGACCACTCACATTTTTCGAAATCAGTTTAAAAGTTTTCTAAAAAATAAAATATTATAAAATAAAACTATATACAAATGTGGCGAAAGATAATCGATGACTATAGGTTGTACTATCTGAATGATTTGTTTGAAATTAAATGGATTTTTTACGGTCTAAGTCGTATGTTGCAATTTTCTGAATTTGTATGGGCGCTAAGTTATTCGGTATTAGACGTCTTTAACAAGTTTCTCCTTAGAGACGCAACAGATAGAAGTAAGATTAGTAGTGATCAAAAGCGCTTTTTTATCGCATTAAGCCTATACCCCCTTTCATTTTTCGCGAACACTCCCTTTAATATCAGACCACCTGTTATAAAAAAGGGATAAGTAGAGTCAACTATTTTAGCAGAACAAAATGTTTACTGTCGTGCAGAGATTAAAGCATGAATACATTGAAATACACTTGTTATATACTATCCTTCGCCAGTCATTCTTTTTCAATCCAATATTAATGATATGATAAAATAATGTTAGAGATTATTAATATAAAATTGATACGTACTCTCACCATTTCAAAACTACAATTGCGCATCATACAGCAAATAGATTAATGGTGAAAGTATGGGGAAGGGGAACTTTTTTATATAAATTTTTCATAATTTTTAAACTTATTAAAATTTTAGCTTTTTTAGTGTAAATCAAATCACCAGAAAAACATCGACAAAAATCTGAAATACAGAGTTACGTTAAAATCGTTATAATCCTTGGAAATTTATCAAACTATAAACAAATAAATATTTCTTGTAAAAGATATTTGTCAAGGAATCAAAATTTTCTTTTTTTAAGCCTTAGCTACAACAATTTTTTAAAATATCATGAATCGAAAAAATAAAAGATTCTAAAAGTATCTTTTGATCCCATATTACCATGTTTTGAAAAAAAAATCGGCCATCCCCCGTATGGGCTCTGTTTTTTTTAAATCGTTAATTACTGGATTAGTTTAGATTTTTTAAATCGTTAATTACTTGATTATTTTAGATTTATAAAAAATTTCTTTCTTTAGTAAATGTTGGTTATATTTGGCTGGTGCTAAAAGGATTTCACATTTGCGATTAAATAGTTTAACCCTTAAATAGATACCTGTTATAAATACAGTAAAAATTGCTGCTTTTATGTTTTTATGTTGCATGTATTGTGCAATAAGCCTGAAGTAATATTTTCATTTATTCGTAATTTTATTTTTAAACCCACTTTCATAACCTTTGATATATCAAACTATAAATTCTGATCAAATAATCTTAGTTTGAAATAGCAAAGGTTTGCATCAGGTTGCAAATATATAGGGATTAGAAAAGTCAAGTTGCTGGCAAAAACCTCAGTTCCGTTGTGAATATACATAGATTTTTTATACAGTTTTTACTTCTTGTATCAATTAGTAAAACCAGGGTCGACTTTGTAGTATCACAACGCCTTGGCCTTGGGTTTACCTCACTAACTTACTTATACTTTTTGTAGCCCTAAACATGTACATTCTAGAACTATTATTAAGCACTTTTTGACTTTACTTCTTGAAAATAATTGGCAATATTCTTATAAATTTTGATGTGAGTGCTTTTAAGTTTTATTGATCAATACATGGATATTCTAAAAAACTCATTTTTTG